GGGAGGGCGTACAGGTCCAAGCTTAGAGCGTCGCGTGAAAAGCGGATCTCTGTTGCGGTCTTCATTCCTCCACAACAACAACAACAACAACAACAACAACAACTCCTGGAGTTGTCTTTTTCCGTCTGCCGCTTCCGCAGAAGTCAGCCCCCAGAGTAAATCTCATCGTAAGTTATCCCTTGCCCTGCCCCATCCGTGCCCTTGAGTTCAGGCGTGGGCGGCGAGGCCGGGGGTACAAAGGCTGCGGGTTTCTTTTTCAACCATCGCGAACTCTTCTCGCAACAGCTCGCTGACGAATCCGCTAAATTCCAAGACAGCAATTTCGCCAGCTTTTTGAAGCCTCGTTCTCCTCAGCACAGCCTTGAAATCCGGACCTTCGGCTGTGAGTGCCAGATAAACCAGCTTTGGCCTCGATACGACCGGCCTGCGAGAAGACTCCCACCAACTGCTTAACTTATTTTAAAGCCTTCCGAAGGGGGAATAAGTGTCATTATTGTTTTACTTCTGGCCTGATTCAAGTTGTTGAAGTCGAACATCAGTACGAAGATTCTAGGAGGAGAAACGGCCTTCCATCAGCCTCTGTGCCGTCTTCAGTCCTACCTTGTCCAAGAGAGGTCGACAAATACCAGTCCCTTTCAACAGTTTCTAGCCAGAAAGCTTTTTTCAGCAGCTACCTGGATTCTTTTCAATCTCAGGCAGCCTTCAAGAAGCCTAGATTGGACCGGCGACCAGCTCCCGCCTTCGTTTCCGCTCCGGCGTCCGTCTCAATCTACAAAAAGGCTTCTCCGAGTTGCCAGCCAATTTGATCTTTTCGCCTTCTCGGCAGATATAAATCTCGCCGTCAACTAACTTCTGCCACAAGTCGAACCTCTGAACTTGAGGACCGGTACGCTGACACACATCCATAAGCGCGACTGGCTTCTAGCGAGCCTCATTACATACAGCAGAACTTCCCGACAAAAGGTTCACGAATACCAATTAAATTAAGCGGTTTCCAGTCAGCAATCGTTCTCGGCAAGGATTTGAAGTCTGTTCAATATAAGGCAACTGTCGAGAAGAATAGCTGGTAGTAATAAATTGTTTTCGGCGTCGTTTCTATTTCGGCATCTATCTCGGTCTGCCGAAGGTTTTGACCAAGTTCTCAGCCTGTTTGGCCTTTTCTCCTTTTCGATAGACGAAAGTTCCCCGGTCAGCTGAGTCTTGACACAACCGGAACCCTTGGGCTTGAAAACTGGCACGCGGACACTATAAACGCGAACGGCTTGCTGCAGCATCTATATCACTTACCCTTCCAACAAGAGCTCGACAGATATCTAAGGTATCCATTCATCAAACGGGCTTCTAATCAGCAGTATTTAGGCAGGCAGGCAGGCATTTGAATTCTGCTCAACCCAAGAAAGCCTTCAAGGAGACCTAGGTTGCAGCGAGCAAGCAGTCGTCGGCCTCGTTTTGGTTCGGTTTCTCGACTTGCAAAAGGAATCACCAGTACTTGAGCAGTTTGAACTTTCCAACAGACTTCAATCTCGCCATCGGCTGTTTTCCGCCACAGCCTGAACCTCTCAACTTGAACGTCGGTACGTACATCGCAGGACCAAGGCACTTCTATGTCAGGGTCAACAACTACAATCCTTACAATAAAAGCTCAACAAATTCTGAAAGTATTGTGCAAGTTCCCAGCTAGAAATTGCCGTCGTCGCTATTTTGCCCCACCTTGATCCGAAAGTTCGATTTTTTTTTACCTGTTCTGTATAATCGGCCGCCAAATAAAAAAAAAAAAAAACCTGCCTTCTCTCACCCTTCCAACCCCACCAGCAACCAGGATTCATCAACCCATCAACGGATTCATTCCTTTACGGCTGCAAACAATCTCTTGACAGTTGAATCGTTTCAGACTTGTCCCACGAATTCATTGATTAATTTCAACATCAGTCAACAGATCGATTGCGAAAGTATCAGACCTGCGACAAAAAGTCTTCAGCGACAGGTTCCCTCACTGTTTGGCACATCCCCAGAAAGACAGTACCATCATCTTCTTCCGTTTTCTGTTGCGCCCTAGATATTTTTCAAGGTCTCGACAGATAGCAGCCACAGTAAATCTTCCTGCAACCCTTTCACGAGACTTCGGCAAGAACCCGGCCCACATCCAACCTCGACTCATCCCACGATTTTCCGCAATCATGTAAGAAAATGGTTTCCTTTTCAACTGTTATTTCATTTCATTTGAATTCCCGACGGTATTTGTTGTCAGACCTTGATCTGGAATCCGGAGCTGCAAATGCAACTTCCCACCCCAATCCTCCTGCCCTCTTGCAACAGGACCTCATTGCGTTTAACCTGTATCAAATGGTTTACATTGATGCATTACTATTATTACCATTTACTCTTTGTTCTTTCTCAAATGGCTTTTGAAACTAACTCACAATTTGCAGACCACAGCAAGCAAGCCTGCTTTCCATCGCCATCTTGCACCACTTACTTCCACAGCACAAGCTTCATCGTTCCTCCGTAAGATATACCGTGCTCTATTCTTCAATCATCATCTCTTGAGCTCAAGCCCATCCACATGAGTCCCCAGATTGCACTTAGGCGAGTAGGCTGCAACCACAATCCTGCAGTTTCCTTGCAACCAGAACTAGTCGTTCAAGTTATCCCATCACGGGATCGTTCTCGTCTTTGAAGGGAAAAACGAGAACCGGTCGTTCATGGCTATCCAGCAAAGGGCCATTGTGTTTGGCGCCAATCGCAATGACAATGCGCCTATTCGTCATTATTTCTCACTAACAGTTTTCACTATAGAAATCTCAAACTGTCACCATGGAATTTTCGCGTCCTGTCTCGACCCCCCCGGTCATGACCAGCAGTGTCGACATTGTCGACCACCTCCAGGCCCAGATCACCAGCCTGACCAAGAAGCTGGAGGCCGTGGAGGTGGAGATGGCTGCGTTGCGGGAGAAGGACGCAGAGCTGGAGAAACGCCTTGAGGCGTTTGAGAAGGAGGAGAGCGTCCGGCCGTTGACCCGCTGGGTCACTCGGCTGGGCACGAGCGTGAAGACCCTTGCGGCGGACCATCTCCGCCAAGTGAATATCTTGAAGAGCCGCAGCATGAAGCAGGAGGCGGCCATCGTCAACCTGCAGGGCCAACCCCCCGGCACCCCGTTGAATGTCCGAGGAGGCGCCGCCAACGCCAACCAGCGGCACCACCTTGGTGGCCAGGGCAACCCGGGCACCCATGCTGGCAATGCCATGGCGCATGGTATGCACCAAGGTCAGAGCTGGGGGCAGCAGGGTGGCCGTGGCCGTGGGCTCTGGGCCCCGAACCAAACTGTAAGTCTCATTGTACAATACGACTGACCCGATCCTTGGTTGCAGCTGACAAGGTTGTTGCAACAGATCCCGGCCAATGACAACTATGGCCTGTGGTCTCCGCAAGCTGTAAGTTACAGCCAAGCCCTATGCCTCCTTCAACTACCCATCAACTCGCGGTTTCCTCGCCCTTTTGGAACAATTTAACTGACAAGCCCCTGTTGCAGCATGGCTCGATGACCAGCAACTTGGCCTCGCCGCCCCACCACGTAAGTTCCAACAATGACCCTTTTCTTATTTGCCTTCAACTAAGAACTCTTTCTAGCAGGCCAACTACTACGACGCGGCGCCGGGTGCTTTCAGCACCCCTACGAGAATGGGCCCCCCGACTCCTGGCCCCTTCAACCCGGGCGTCGCTTCTGGTGGTTTTGGGGATGGTCATGTCTTCGGGCCCGTGCCGCCCAATTACCTTGGCTCCGCTGGGCAGGGCAGTGTTGTGCTGCCGCCGCCGTCCGCCGAGCTGCCGCGGGCCCTGGCCTCTCACGAGGTCAGTGGCGAGGCCCAGGAGGCCCAAGATGTGGAGGAGGAGGCCGGTGGCGCCAAGGAGGGCGAGGAGGGACCCGTTGGTGAAGAGGGCGCTGGCGTTGTCGTGGGCGCGGAGGAGGAGGAGGGCGGCACCCAATCGGAGACAGTAGAGAAGATTGGTGAGGAGGATTCGTTGTCTGGAGGAGGGAGACGCCGGAGCTCGATCTAAAGAGCAATGATGACATGTAGTATAGTTTGTATTATTAGCTAGCAATTGTAATTTCAATTGCTAGCAAAGCGTGCACACATGGGCGATTGATTGAAGTAATTCTGCGCCACTTGACATTTCGTGGAAACAACCGACGGAGATAAGGAGCACCAAACTGTCCGGGACGTTATGCTCGGAGTGTTAAGGACTCGGTTATCTGGCTCCCATGTCGAGCGTCAAAACCGATGGGTGCGAGTTGGTCGTTTTCCGAGGCGGAAAGACGCACTCATTGGCCACGGGCGGCGTTCCGAAAGCCAACCATAACGCAAGAACCTTTGCATCGCTTTGGGGGCACCGAATTTCAGATTGGCAGGAACGATCGCGACAGGTCCACTCCTTTGGTCTTTGGGCTGGAACGTGGAATTCTCTCCTTGGTCATCCGTCTTTCACCTTCCACAAAACGACCAAGGCGGATTTACCAGCTTTGGTTTACGACCGCGACGACTCGACACGCTCCGTCTACTTTCGCTCAAGAGGCTGGAATGTTTGCTGACAGGTAAGCAACGTGGAAAGGAAGTTGCGACTCAGCACGCAACTTGTGGGTCTTATCTGCGTTGTGTTGTTGGGTCCTTCGTTGTTGGGCGGGTCTGGAATCCGAGCGAAGCTGACAGAAGCGTCAATAGTCTTCGAAGCGGGCATTGTGGAACACCCCGCGATCTTTTGCACATCGAACACTATATACGAAGCACGAGAAAGACGTCCGACAATGACGAGAGCGACCGACGAACAACAGAGCTAGACCCTGTGGAAAGCAATAAGAGACAGGAGGTAGAATATGTGGACGAAGATCAAGCTCGCCACCCTTGTCGCCGCCTGCGATCGCTCAGTGGCCGCAGCGTCCAAAATTGCGGGATCAAGATTTTTCTGTCTTGTTCCGAACTGTCTGATGGCAAAAAGAAGACCAAGGTCTTGCCCGGAATCGAACCGGGGTTGCCGGAATCTTGTTCTCAAAATCCGGAGTGCTAACCGCTACACCACAAAACCGAGCTAACGGGGACGGAGAATCCTCGAAGCGCTGAAATTGCTGCTCCTGGTCGTGAGTTTTCCTTCCCCACAGGAGATGGAACGAGGTGGGTCAAGAACATTGTTCCTTCCCCTAACCGTTGCTCTGTCAACCCACCAATGTGGGTCGTGCGATACCCCTATCTTGGGTCGCGTGGTAGCATAGAGGTCTCCTCGCCATCGTTCTAAGCAAGAAAGTTTTCGGATCCGGAGCTGCCGGAATTGGGGCGGTGGCTGCCGATGGGGGTTGTCTTTCATCACGCAGGTACCGTCCTATGCGTTTGGAGCTGCCCCAGTCTCCTTCTCCATCCCGGCCTCCGTTTTCGACGTCTTCTGTTTTCGAGTAGCGAACGGCTGATGGGAAATGACGAGCCCTCGCAGGTTTCAAGCCTCAACGTTCATTTATTCCATCCCACAGGTGTATCTCATGCTGGGGCATCCTGGTATTCTGAATACACGTCGACACTCGGCGGTACCCCACCCGAAGCCGAGAGCGTCTCCCCGTCACGAAATACTTCATGGCGAATCAAGTATTGGCATGCCTGCTCAGTCAGACATCACTCCGCTTCCGAAGCGGAAGGCTTCTTGCTGAGCGGAGGGGTAGGGAAACGTCGCTCCAATCCAGCCCCTCGAACTGGTTTGCCGCTGGATGGGATTTTTCGACCTTCTGCTCACCCAAATCAATTCGCCAGGGCCTTTGCGGGCGCGGCGAACGAGACTTGGCCAACATCTCAGCGTCCCATGACTGGCCAAACAGGGTTGGGAAGTTACACAAGATCTGGTGTTACCTCGATGCTTGGGTCAAATCCCGCGAACATGCCGTTCGTGATGACACCTGAGCCCGCCAATTAACAACCACACCGCAACGCTTATCAAATGCATGGCTACCCATCTTCTCAATAGTCGCCCTAAAACCGGGGCTTTTCGGGCGTCGCTACCCGCGCCAAGCAACAAACCTGGCTGCCTGCCTGTCGACGACCATTTGACGCGCCAGACTGGATCATTGACAACTTGGGACTCGTTGAGAGTTGTGTTGGATCAGACTAGCAACAGACGCTGCGGGGTCTTGAATTTGGGGTGGCGATGGAGTCTTCTTTGCTTTTGACTGAGACAGTGGCGCGGTGTGGTTGGCAGGGTGCACTGCCCTACGGGCCGGTGAACGCCGAGTGGTCCAGACGCGGAGATCTCTAGCGACACCTCGAATGGTTGGGCCCTTGGCGAATGTTGGGCACGCACTAAGGTCAGCCGCATCGGGATGGCATATAGGCTCAAAATTCGACTGTGGCAGTTCCCCATGTCTGTCATCGCATTTGGCCTTGCCATTTTGCCGTCCCTCCCTCGCTCAGATAGTTGCTTCTCGAGGCCATGAACTCCAAGTTCAAGCCAATATTGCCCGCGATCAGCGCGTCCCCGAACAACGAGGGGCGGGGTTCAGATCTGCTGAGCGAGCCGCCAGCGAAAAGAAGGCGGGGTTCCCATGCTCACCACATCGCATGTGACGCATGCAGGACAAAACGGATCGCCGTGAGTTGCACACAACTTTAACCCCTTCTCTTGTTGCTAACGGTTCCGCTGCCACTATGTAGTGCGATGGCCAACGCCCAACCTGCGGCTCGTGTATTCGTCGACACGTCGACTGCAGTTACCGGACGGCGCGGCGTCTCGACACAGATGAGCTCCACCAGAAACTGCAAAACTACAACGAATTCTTCCTCTACCTTCAAAGAATCCCCGAGACAGATGCAATCGGTATCGTCCGTCGACTGCGAGCTCTCCCTGACCCTACCGCCATCCTTGCCAGCCTGGAGGGCGGCGCTGTTCACACCCTGAAACGTCCCTCAGATATTGCAGTTGCACGGGCCGTGAGTGTGCCGACTGATACAAGCATTGAGTTTGAGCTCATGGCATGCCATCGCTCGGCTTACATCAAGATCATTCCTGTCACGAGATCCTTCCTCGAAAGCCTGGTTGACGGGACACCATCCGTCGTTTCAACTTCTTTGATCACCTCGCCGGCATCACATTATTCTTCCCCAGGCACACTGGCACCCACGCCGCTCCCTCCGTCTCCAGGACTGCGGGATCTGATTGACCAGCGCCTGAAGAAGCTCCGGATTGCCTACTGGACCCGGGTGGCAATCGACGATGACTTTGCGGCCCAAATCATCTCGGCCTACCTCGAGAAGGAACACATGATCACTCCTTTCTTCGATGCAGACATTGTTCTCGCAGACCTCGTCGCTTGTCAGCCGCGGTTCTGCTCGGCGTTTCTCGTCAGTGCTCTGATGTTCCTTGCGTGTGTAAGTGTGTGCCGTCGTCCCTTTTTTGCGTCTCCTTGCTTTGACTCCGCTCACACCAGTACCGGAAGCAATCCTACACTCCCCTTGACGTAAGGGCAGCGGGACTGGCTGTGAACTTCCGCGCAGAGGCTGAGTTGCTGTACCGCGGAGAATGCAGTGTTGACTCCATCATCACCGTCAGCGGAATGATGGTCTTCACAGCAGCTTGCTTTTACCACGGCGCAGAAGCGCTTGCTCATGAGCTGCTTGGCGGATTGCGGAGCATGGCAGGGCGGTTGGCTTTGTTTGGGGTTGCATCAGGCAACCCGGTGGCACTGTCCCATCTCGGCCAAACAGAGGAATGGAGGAGGGCCGCGTCTCAGGTTGCGTGGGCGGCTTATAATTTTCTCTCGTGAGTTGACCAGGGTACGGTGACAAGAAAAACGTTTTCACTGATAATACCAGGTTGTTGAGCATCTACCACGAAGTTAGCCCCATCAAGTATCCTCCGATCCTTCCGATCCCTAACACCCCACCACCCAAAGGTAAAGAGAGGGCGACAACACCTCTAGATTTGATTTCATCACGGCGGTATGTCTCACCCGTCTTTCACACAACGTGCAAGCTTTATGTGATTGCGCAAGAGATTGCCGCCGTTTACAAGGTGGGGGATGGCACGAAGCTGTCATCGGAACGGGTGCCTCTCGCGTTTCTCGAGGCAAAATACCAGAAGCTACTCGAGTGCCTCGGCGAGGTTGAGGAGGGCGTCCTTAAGGACGGGAATGGGCCCATCCACCTCATCGTCTTCTAGTACGCCACACCCCGACGTCCCGTGGCGCCTCAACTGACTTGGGCTGCAGCATCGAGTGTCACATCGTAATATTGAGCCTCTTTCAGCCGTTCCAGAACTCCCCCGATGCCACGACCCGACTGCCGTCGTTCACTTCGCTAGACTGCAGCCCGCGTACAGTCTACGACGCGTCGATCAACCAGCTCAAGCAACTCGTCCTTTGGGCCCATCTGCGCTATCGCGAGTCACTGCCCATCTACGTCAATGGCGCCTTTCTTATGTTGATCGGTGCTCTCACGAGGGCCGACGAAACAACGTCATCCTTCCGCGACATGCCTACTGAACGGCTCTACTTCCTCTTGTGCCTCAAATGCGTCTCAGACCTGTATGTGCAGTATCCACTGTTCGTCAACATGGCACAGGCGTTCTTGGCCATGGCGATTGTAAGTCCTCAAGAGAGATGCTAACCTTGAGTGTATTGCTAAACTATGCAGCAGCAACATGGGTACATGTCTGGCGCAGAGGCCGTGGCGCTTCTTGAGGGAATTAAGCGACGGGGATCGCATCACGCGGCGCCTGACGAGGCCGGCTCCAGCGCCATTGCAGACCCGGCTGAGCCTCAGGCGGCGAAGATGAACATCCTCGCGCAGAAGTTCGAGGTTATCAGTCTGATGGACCAGTTCACGCACGTCAATGACAACGCGGGTGTGGGAGATGGGTACGTCAGTGGTCTCGACCTTGCGACTCCTGCATCGGACGCGGTGTACTCCCAGGAGAGCAGACAGAGCTGAGGTTGGGAGAGCGGAGCTTGTGGTTGTGAACGAAGCGAGGCACGGAATCTGTAGAACAAGATTCAAACCCAGAATGGAAAACACCCCGGATTGTTGTCCGAGGCTTGGGCTCGGGCTCGCTGTGGGGGGCTTGTGGGCCCGTCAATTGCCCACGTTGGGAGTTTGTGAGGTCCGATTGGCGGGTCGAGAAGCGCAGAGAATCAAGCATCCCCGCCAAGTTTCGAGGGCCTTGGCGGCGACAACCCACGTGTGTCGACATTCAACGTTGATTCTTCAACTTTTCATGCCCAGCACCGTCCGCAGAAGCTCACGTCCACATACAAAAGCCAAGACCGTGCCGCATGTTCTATTGATCCTGTTTAGCTCTCCCCCCCGAAGCGCTAGGACTTCCCATCGACGGAAATCCCTTGGAGCCAAGCTCAATGCTGACCAGGCCGCGCCTTCCCAACGACCCTCCTTCACAAGCCGATTTGGTCACCCTCTGGTGCCCATTGGCCCATTCCCCAGCCGCTGAAGTATCATCAGTTTCTTGGCCGTCGTGCTGCTAACCATTCGTGTTGTTTGGTATCCCCTTCTGGCAGCCGGTCTGTCCTTCTCATCCCGCGTGCAAGCAAAGTTCCAAGCGCTTTTTCATCCTGGCCCGTGGGGGCTTTTGCGTTCTCGAATGTCAAACACGCGAGTAAAGGGCGAATCTCGGAGACTAGCGGCTCTCTTTGCTGATAGCGTTCCTTGCAAGTTCAAGGTCACGACCAGCCGGAGAGCAGCTGGTATAGCGTTTGTTGGATTCTCCTTGTCTTCCTGTCTTTTTATTGCTCGTCGTCAAAACCTCGCGTCTGTCTTGGTGGCCAGGACAAGTGCTCCGGCCCCCCGGTTGGGATAAGAGTGCGGAAGTGAGGCTCTGCAGACGTCCGTCGAGGCACGAAACGCTACTCCCGAACGACCGGTACCGGGATCTGGCGTAGGGACGGATGAGCGTCTAGCCTCTTAGGTTGACCGAAGCATCAAGTTCCCAAACAGGGAGATGGAGGCGGCAAGTCCCTAGAGCGCGCCCCCCCCCCCCGCTGCAACGAAAGGCACTCAGGGATGCACATATGTCAATGTGCGGGTTCTCGGCACAGGCCG